TATAAATTACCAATATTTCTAGTGCAAATTAAATATTTTCTGTCTTTATTGCTTAAGCCATTAAATCATGTTTATTATAATAAAGTACGTCTATATTAGAAAGCACTCTTACAGTATATAATCTTCTATAACATAGTATATAGTCTCAACTAATATTACTACAAATGTTGAAACTTGGCTAAAGCTGAGACTAACCAGTAAAACCAACCGGTGATAATCAATCACCTGCATTAGTTTCAATCAAATTGCGAGCAATTATTATTCATATTTAGTAACTTCAAAATTATTTGACACCTAGCAAAAAACAAAATTCGATTAAGTGAATATGTTTGAGAAATCAATTTATTTAAAATTATTGTGGCCAAATTTCATAACATACTTTACTAAGCAAATGTTCACCATACACAACACCTTCATGGTGACTAACGGGGTCAACTTCAAGACATTTTGAGAGTGGTTCAATTTTTGCATCAAAGTTTGGTTCGTAAAAGAAAGGAATTCTTTTATCCATAATATATATGTTAGCATGTGTTTTTATGGTATTTTAAAATAAAGCCTCGTTTCGGCCAAAAATACTCACGAGACCCTATAATTACTACTATTATGGATAACTCTGTGTAAAGTGCTTTTATATAAATCATTAGTCCATATCTAAATTTGTTGAAGATATTAATAGTAATAAAATAAATAAAAGCAATAAATAAAAGACTAAAAATTTGTGATAAATTATAAGAACTTACATTTAACATATCACCAATATTTACAACAAAAGAATTAGGTATAGGATCTACGTTAATCCAATCTCCTTCTTTTGTTTTAACTTGGAGTGCATCTTTCGTGGAATCCTTTTAGAAGTTAATAAGCAAAAATATAATTTATGTTGAATAGGTAAAGCAACTTATTTTATATATACCATATTAAGAAAAGTTAAGCATCTTTTTTTCGAAGCAAAAAATTAGTTACTCGCAACTTTTTCAAAAATTCAAGAGAATAGATATAAAAAACATACCCATAGTCTATTTTATGTTTCGGGGTTTTTTCACAAAATTAAATCACTTAATTAGTAAGATTTAATTTGAAATCGAAAAGTTCAAATCTAAGCCAATGAGTCATATGACACTGAACACTCTTCTACCCTCTCACTTCTCATAATAGCAAGCTCTATTCAGTAAGAAAAAAACCACCTGCTAATGCTATTCTATGTATAGTTACGGTTCAGAACGTTATCCCGGTCCAGTTCTAATTGTATTATATTCGAAACCTTTGGCTAATTGGCATTGCTTTAACCCAAGCATCCGTGCAAACCATTATTTTTAAACATTATATGTGTATGGATAAAAAAACTCACCAGTATGTTCACCACAACTGTATTTTACACGGTTTAAACCGTTTGCACTATTCAGAGGTGGATATCCAATTACTCTCATCACCCTGTTAAAATATTGTGGAGTAGTTAAATACTAACCTTTTCCCTAAACTTAATAACGACAATTCAAATTAAAAATGCACACACCAAAAGGAATCATCCATAAATTCTTCAAAATAATCATGTTCCAATCCTAAACCCATGGCAATAGCACTCATAACTTTAGCACCTAGAGATTTCATATGTTCTATATATTGCTCAAATACACTACGAAATTCAGAAGGATTTGTTGGCCATTGGTTTTCGCCTCTTAACGGAAGATTTCTGATAACCAATGGATGATTACTTTTGGTGTGTGCATTTTTAATTTGAATTGTC